TTGTTTGGCTGCCTGCTTTCTCCACAGCTGGCAGCCTCCCTATGCCCCCCTCCCTCCCCAGCACCTCCCACCCGCCAGCAGACCCCGCAGATCAGCGCCGTCCCCTCCCCCCCCGCCCACGGCAATCAGCTGGCTTGCGGCGTTTAGGAGGCAGGAGGGAGGGGAGGAGCGATGACTCGGCGCGCAGGCTCCTCCTCCCTCCCCTGCCTCCCGAACATGGAAAGCCAGCTGATTGCCCCGGGCAGGAGGGAGGGCGGAGGAACAAGGACTTGGTGCGCCTCCCCCCTTCCTCCCCTGCCTCCTGCCTGCAGCAATCAGCTGGCTTGCAGCGTTCAGAAGGGATGGGGGAGGAGTGAGGACAAAGCCTGCGAAGTAAAGGGGGAGGAGTAGGGCCGGTGCAACCACTAGGCGAACTAGGCAGTCGCCTAGGGCGGCAAGTGGTTGGGGGCACCCAGGGCCGTCGTCAGGCATAGGCAGCTGGGTGGAGCACTGCTGGGTCTTAGTGTCCAGCCTCCTGGTTTTCCTATCCCTGTTCTGACCCTTCCGGCAGGCTCTGAGTCTTCCTGGGAAGGGGATCTACTAGTTAAAAGAGAAAAAGTCTCCAGCCTGCCAGACCTATTAGCACAACACTGAAACTGTTAAAGAGCCATTTAAGGGGTAATGAAGACATTTAACAGGCAAATGTTAAGATATAAAATCCTTTGTTATGCCTAAAATCTTTGGAAACATATTTTTTAAAGTTGATGAAATTTCATAAACATGTGTATTGTTATGGAGATCACACACAGTAGATTAGTGTTCTCTTTTTCTAAAAGCAATGAACATTGTTATGACCACACTCAACCTCTGTGACTGATTAATTTAAAATAATGTCTGAGTGAGTTAAATACGTAGTAATCTGGAATGATTACTTTATGAAGGCTTAAGAGTACATTTAAAATATAAAATCAGCTTAGAAATACTAATTAAGAAAATGTAAAACAGAGAAGAGCTGCATCATGTATTCCATAATATTTAATGTTGTATTTAGCAAGACAGCTGACTCGCCCTTACTACAAAGTTTTTGCAAATAAATTTCTGACAAACTTCAGGGCATATCAAAAAACCTGTGACTGACATTTTTTTATTGCCAAGTTTTGTGCTTTTAATTAGGTACCTTCTGCATGTCCATTCTGCGTGAGGGAGAGGGTACAGGGGTCTCTGTGGGGAACTGTGACTCTCCGCCACCATGAGGCGGGCCAGGCATCTTGTTATTCTTTCTGCTTTGTCCCTCCGCCCCTGTCGGGCTGCAAGCTCAGGCTGCCGTCGGGCATAGAGGCACCAGTTTAATAATACTGCATAGTGTCCCATAAATCCTAAGGGCGGCCCTGGGGGCACCAAAAAGCGGTGTCCTGGCTCGGCAGGAAGGAGCCACCGTCCAGAGGCACCGGAGAGCCAGAGCGTCAGCTCGCGGGGACGGTGAGCCCCAGCCATGGAGGAGCCAGCGCAGTGCAGGGGGGGCAGGAGCCCTGCAGAGGCAGCAGCGCCGCTAACAGGGAGCAGCCGCGCCCCCCCGCCCCTCCTGCCCATGCTCCGGCCTGGCGCCCCCCCGGGGGGCTCCTGCAGGCTGCAGCAGATGCATGCAGGCAGAGGCCCTCGTGCACCTCCCAGCTCCCCCATTGCCACGCTTGGGCTTTGCAGCTCCCGGGCATGTGAGCCACCGCTGGGGCGCGGGGCCCTGAGCCTGCTCCAGGAGGGGCAGTGGCGGTGGTGACTCACACTCCTGGGAACCGCAGAGCCCAAGCGTGGTGAGGGGGGAGCTAAGGGGGTACACGGTGGCCGCCGCCCGCATGCATCTGCTGCAGGAGCCCCCAGAAGGCGGCTCCTCCCTGCCAAGCTGCTGCAGCAGCCCAAGCCCGGCAAAGCCAGTGAGTGGACTCGGGGTGGGGGCCGCTGGGGTCGGGTGGGGAGGGCTCGCGGGGGGGCTGTGCACCCTCCAGGGGAGTTCAGGGGACAGGGAGGGGGGAACTTGGTCTGGGGAGCAGCCTCTGGGCATGGCTGGCCCCTGGGGTCTATAAAGACTCCTTGGGATTTGCCCCTCAATGAACCGATGTTTTGGGGGAGGGGGCGCAAGGTGGAAGTTTCGCCTAGGGCGCAAAATATCCTTGCCCTGGCCCTGGGGAGGAGGTCCGGGGAGAGAAGTGGGTCAAGGGTGGGGGTTTGGGGAA